CTTTAATCAAATAAGATATTAGCATTCAAATGAAATATCATAATTCAGTTCCGTAACTAAATCAGACCCCAAAGTGCCAGGAGCGTAATCAGTTCTTTTCAGGATTATTGCAGGCGCTGAGAGTAGTATTACGGGGCCCAAATCAGCATTGGCGGAGAGGGTCCACAAAGCACATATTATGCAAAGCACCTCAGACCGAACAGACGTGCTGGAATTCAAGATGCCAGGGCTCGCGGACCCTGACTCTGGAGCAGCAAAACCAGATGACTCAGGCTCGCACTATAAGACTGAGATTTCCAGGGCTGCGCAATGTAAATGGGCTGTGACGAATGCGATGTACTCGGACAGGGGTGCCGTTTTGAAAAATAACATGCGTGGGGTGAGCCATGAAAAAATGGCTTACCTGTCCAGTCGGACCTGAAAGAATCTGGAGGGGACAATCAGACTGTGGTATTTTGAATGGGAACAACGTGAAAAATATGTTTTCCTCGGGCAGTGGCGCAGCCAGAGCCCTGGCAAGGGGGCACAGGGTTGGCCCTCTCATAGTAAAAGCGTCCCCTCCTCCTGAAATCGCCGGATATGGCCTATTTGTTATTGTGGACAGGTTCTTATTATGCATTCACGCGCGCGCGCGCACGCCCCCCCCCCCACATACACACATACATATATATATATATATATATATATATATATATATATATATATATATATATATATATATATATATATATATTATACATGACCTATAAATGGAACACAGCTAGACGCTACTGCGGGATCAATTCTGCCTGAAGTTTTCAGTAAATAAGCCGACAAAATCATGCGTTAAATGCCTGCATGAAATAAATCGCTGGTGCTCCTTTTTTGACAGTCTTCTGGCGGACTATTTCAAACGGATAGAGCTTAGAGATTTTGTGGGAATTTTTAGCTGAGTTGTACAAAAATAGCAAGGATTCCGCGAATGTAGATTGAAGATCAAAATGGGTCAACAATTTCCATTAACATGGCTAAGCCATGTTGGTCTTGATGTTTTCAACATCCAGTCAGAATCGATTAGTGGCACAAATAAAGTAAAGTAGTTTTGAGCGTGCGCATTCGCATATCTTAGTAACAACAAACTCGACGCCAGGCGTTGCAGTCTCCTTCGGCCGCGTGGCGTCGGTCCCGCAGCTAACATAAGGTTGTGGCCAACACATGGACGAAAATGCTGACGCATCTAGAAGAAATGCATTTCAACGTTTTTGGACACCACATCGCACATTTGTACGATGTGGTGCCCAATGACGTGTTAGTTAATTAAGATAAAAACCTGTGCGGTTTTTAGGTTGATGCCAATACCTTATCAGTCTTTATAGCACCGTGAAGCGGTGCTGCAATCTGGCGGTGGAACTGGAATGGAAGAGCATGGTAAAGTCTCCATTTTCCGTGTTGCTGCAATCGTTACTCTGCCCAAAGGACGGCCTCAAAGTTTTAATAAATAGATTCACCCAGTCTTATCTTTGAAAGGCACAAATCAACTTTGAAAGGCATTCAGAAACATAAGTTTACGATGATCATTGTAGCGCGCTGGGTGCCCGCCCCCGGGCGTTACTTGCAGTGGCCAATGCCGTTCGGTTTTGCGAAACCTGCGATCCAAGCCATCGCTATTCTTGCTTTCCAAGATTGCGGACGTGTCATTGGGGTTTTATGACGCACTTAGCTGCTGGGGCTACATGGCGCCGCCGGCCTTTCACACTGGCGGGAAGGACGGGCACCATGGGGAATCGAACTCCTCGCCTGTGGTTTCCCAGACACGTGCAGTGGTTAACGCAGGCGCGTTAACCACTTCGCTATCAGCATCCGACGTGCAGCCTCAAAGCTTTTAATGGTGTTTGTTTTACTAGTCGATTCTACAAAATAATGACCGTTCTCAGGGAAACATGGGACGGCCTTGCGCGTTTTAAGCCAATTTCGACCCACTCCATTCATCACTGAGACCCTTTTTCTTTCCCTTTATTTAAAGGGAACCATTGATTACAACATTACGGAACACATTGTTGTTTTCGGTCAAGGGCTGCAGGGTCACCGCGGTGTGTTTGTTGTCCCACCGCGATGTGTTTTCCGGCCGTCATTCTGGCGACACGGGGCGGCATCGCCTGACCGATCCGGAGGCCCTCAGAGGGATACATCGTATTTGACTGGTCCGCTCCCTGACGCGGAGGCCTTCTGACGCGGACCGTTGGTCCGGGATCGACGCATGAACCGTCTTCAACGCAACAACACCCCTGCTCGCCTCAGGTGGTCAATAATTGGCACATAAACTCCAGGAGGGCTTTAACGGGCCCATGCTGAAATAGGGTTGGAGGGCCCACCGTTCGGTACTGGGGCCCCTGACTGGCACAAAACTGCTATATTACCTCAGTGTGAGCACTCATTATAAGTCGTACGTTTCCTTTAATTGTCAGAGGGTCCGACCAGCGCGAGAGACCCTTTGCCGTTCGGGCTCCCGTCCCCGTCCCTGGCGAGCAAATCTTCCAGTGGCCGATCCCTTATTGACGCAGTATCAGAATGCCCTATATAGGCATTCTGGCCCATTACACCCCCTATAGGCGTTGTGGGCCCCTGAACGATACAGGAGCCCGACCAATGTAAACCGTGGGTCTGGTCTTGTCCCTGCTAGGGAAGTGGGCCCACAGAGCTCAGACCAACACGAAGCCGACAGTTCGTTGCTTGTGATCTCTGGCCAAAAAAGAGGAACGCTCTGTCTCAGGGGTCCCTATCGGTGCAAGAGATCATCTTACTGACATTTGAGATTATGGCTCTATGGGCGGGGTTCCTTAATGTGACCTGCAGCCAGCCTTTCGGACGATTCAACCATCCCATCGGCCCCTTGATCTATGGTCTCGAGAGACCCTTCGGTCACTCTTCGGGCCCCCTTAAACACCGCTCCGGCTCGGGACCACTTGCCGCCATAGAATCCCTTGTTCGGCACTGTGGCCCCCTACCGACACAGGAGCCTATGATTTTGTCAGGGACCCTGAACATTGCAAGTCGCGGACTCGGCCTCATTTCTGCTTGGGTAATGGGCCTATGAGGCTCAGACGGACATGGAGCCGACTGCTCCGTGTTCGTGGTCTCTGGCCGATTTGGAGACCCACTTTGTCTCAGGGTTTCCTCAAATGGCGCAGGAGGACCTCCGACAGATATTTCTGGTCACGACCCTACGGGTCGCGATCCTTTATGTGACCTACAGTCGAACCTTCGGGCCCTTATGCCCTCCAACCGGACCTTCGGTCATCGGTTCCGGTGGCCGCCCAGGTCCCTCTCCAGGCCTCATCGCACACTTCCCTTGGTCGGCTCGGGGCCCTTGCGAGCACAGGACCCTCTGTTAGGCGCTGTGGGCTCCTGACAGATGCAAGGCTCCCGACCGGTGTAAATCACTGGATCCGGCTGTATACCTGATTGGGAAGTGTGTCCTCAGGCCCATACCGACACGCAGCCGACTACGTGTTACGGTGGTACCTGACCGACTTATAGGCCAATACCGACTCAGGGGTCCCCGATCAGCGCAAAGGGCCAACTATCCGTTATTTGAGGGTCCATCTTCGCAGGTCGGGGCCCCTGAATAAGACTCCGATCAGCCCTTTATGTCCTCAGACCCTCCAATCGGGCCCATAATCGTCCGACCCGTGAGCCCCTAGGTTCTTCGGGGGTCCTCGAACACTGCCTCTGGCCGGCTCGGAGCCCCTTGGCAACACAGGGTCCCTATTAGGCGCTGTTGGTTCTCGAACATTGTAAATTGCTGGCTCCGTCTTCGTCCCTGCTTGGGAAATGAACCCTCAGGCCCATGCCGCCACGGAACCGACGGTGCATACTGATGGTATCTGACCGAAATATAGGCTTTTATCGACTCAGCGGGCCCCTGATCAGCGCGCAGGGCCCTATCGCTGGCATTGGAGTGCACGGCACTGCGGGCCGGGCCCCCGAATGAGATCTCCGGATGGCTTTTCAGGCCCTACGGGCCTTCAAATCGAGTCCTAAATCTCAAGTTCCGATGGGGGCTTCGGGTCCCTCGGAACCTTCGGGGGGGGGGGGGGACATGTGCCCCTCTGCCCCTGCCTGCGTTACTTCTGTCCATGGGCAAAATTGGAGTGGCAAAACCTCAATTTAGAACAATTGGAAGCTTCCTCCCAGCCCCGCCCACTATGCAGTTTCTACATACATGCTAGAAATACGCACAAAAGCGTGCTGTTTTCCGGCCTTTATCTACTTACCATCATGTATCCGATGGGGACCGGGGGCTCCAACCGCCCTAACTGAATAGCGAACTACACTCTTGCACTTGGAATCGAATCAGGACTCAGACGCTCGCTCGGGCTTCCGGTATCCGTAGACCCACTTAGAGGCGTAGCTTCGCAAAAAAGGCTGGGGGGGGGGGGCTTGACATCGAAAAATAGCTTAACCACCAATCGGAGACAAAATCTGACCCGTGCCCCAGCCTGCCCCAAAAATACCCTAACGAACGAACTTCACCCGTAGCCCACTTTCTTCCCAAAGTTCGTATGGAGGGGGACTGAAGTCCAATTTGGAGGGCCGAAGCCCCCCTCCCTCCCCCGATTGAATTGGAAACTATACCCCTAGACCCACTTTTAATTACGCCAACGAAATAGTTACTTTTATACTTAAAGTGTGTTTGATAACCTAGCATATTCATGTCGATGCTGTTCGTCGTACACACACTGTCTCAACATGTTTATTTTGCTCAGTGAGCGATCTGCTGAACATAGCAGCGCCTGTGACCGCAAGGCAAGCCTGTTTCCGCACATTTGCAACAAAAGTTTCGGTTGAGCAGCCATCACATGCGGTGCAACATCCGTTTGCCGGGTTGGATCAAAGCTTTAGTCATGAGGTGGTAAAATTTTGTAATTGCTTGCATACTAATATTTGAATTTTGTTTTTGGTCTGTGATAACCACATCATATTCCTGAAAAATTTAGCAACAAGGCCTCAAATCGATACCATCAATCGATGGCGGCGCCACGTCACTAACGTACACTTTTCGGAGCTGCGGCGGTCGTGGCGGAATTCCGCATGGGGTCTCCGCCGCGGTTATTTTTGGGCTAAATTATGTTTCCTGCTACGGTAAGTAAATGCTCTCGTTTACCTTCCACTTACATGCCGATAATTGATGGGACATTTCCGCGTCAAGGTGTTCAAAGGACGGGAAATCTGCTGAACGGAGGGGGATCACGTTTGGACCACGCAGATATTCCTGTGTGTAGTTGGCGTTAATCGCCTGAATGCTTAATGAAATGAATCTACACGTTTGAAATGCATTCGCACATGACAACTGACTGCAATGATTTAGTTAGATCTCTGTCAGTGTAGAGGTGAAAGACAAGGATAATGGTTATTGATTGTGCATGGTTTTGTTGGCTTTGAACACCTTGCATATTGTGCAGACTTGTGTCATTGTATGGTGATATAAGCCTAAGGTATTTTCTCTGAATGTAAAAGAATGCTTTATTTTATTACCAAGTTACCTGTATTTGTGGTCATTTTGATTGTAGTGAGTAGGCAATCATTCATTTAGGGATTTCACCACCCCAAATGTGTGAGTGAATTTAAGAATATAACAGTCTAAGGCCATAAATAAGGTGTAAAGTGCCCATTAGCAGACTGATTCAAATGCTTTTCCTTGTGACTCCCTGACATATGCTGCCACTCCATCTCCAAACAATTAGGGGGGGGGGGGGTAAAGGATGTCTGCAGCTGCCTCAATATCAGATAGAACATCACCATCCTTGATGAACCTGCCACAGGTTGCAGGATGGTTCTCATGATGTGCAGTGCATTGTGGCAGTGGCACAGTCTGGTATGATGTGTACATATGGTGCTGGTGTAGATTTCAAGACACGATGGTCATATCACGGGTGCTATTTTGTAGGGATAGGCTCATTTGTGCAAGATTGTCATGATTAGGTGTAGTCTCCCACTCCTTTCATGAACTGTCATGGCTGTCAACAGCATAATGTGAGTAAGCTTACCATTGAAAGCACACCAACAAAGTGTTCAGTATTCTCAGAAAAAGCCATGGAATATATAAGGGTATGCTGTTAGCATACACCATAATAGAGAAATATCAATCAGTGATTAGTTATTAACTATATTTTTATAGGTGCTAAATGGCATAGTCTATTTTTTGTCCTTTGTTTTTTTTCTTTTTTATGTTATAGACTTAAGTGGTGGCATGAAAAAGATACATGTGTGCACTGCCTACCTCCCAATATGCCTTCCTGATTCCTGAACTGTGCTAGATTATTGTGTGAAAAGAAAACTAGTAGCAAAAGGGAGCATATCCCATTCTGTGAATTTTGCAACAACTTGATGTTTGTGGTCATACAGTTTTATAGTGGGCCTAATACCAATAAGAACATTAAAATTTATAAATGGATAAGCATCAGGTATGGTTGCTTATGATCAATAGCTGGCCAAATGTTTTGTTAATGCAGTGTAAAGATGTCAGAAACATCCAGACATACCTTTTGTAGATAGTTGTTGACCATTGATTAGTGAGCATCATAGTCTTATGTAAGACTTAAGACATAAGATACATCCACAAGACGTAAGATATAAAATGATTGAGGGTTTGTTCATTACATGATTTGATTCAAGTAGTATTGGCTTGGTTTTTTAAGTCTGTCAGTCAGAATTTCCTGTACCTGTGTATTAATGGTGTGGTGAGTGCACATTTGCCATCTGAATTGTCTGTCTGGCATTGGGGCTTTACAACATGCTTATCTGCTTGGGCTATATGGCATTGCTTGTCTCCCACCATGACAGGGAGGGCAGGCAGGTACTGCAGGGAATCAAACCATGTGCCTCTGGTTTCCCAGATGTAAACCTTAACTGCTATGCAATTTGTATGTCTGACTATCTGAATCAAAGTCTGTATTTTCAGATCATATAAAACCTTCCTTTCACCATGATGGAAATTTTCCTCAGAATATCATTCTTTCCTTTATTTCCTCACAGACATGTAGTTTAATCAGGTGGGATTCAAAATTCCAATGGGGTGCAATTTATCTTAATCCTGGCCCCAAGAAATTGTTTTGCCACCCACCTGGTTCAGGCTGCTCATCCTGGTCAAATTCTGTGCACACCTTGACATATTTCCTAAAGCATCCCAGAACTTGCACTGCCTGTCCTGGCCCTGGTGACCAACCCACGTGACACCTGCCGAAGATGGGGATCCAGGACCTGCAGCGGTTCATCGAGGCGCACGTGCCGAACGCGTGCGTGCCGGTGGACCTGCTTAAGATCGCGCGCGGGGTGACGCTGCACCGGCCGCGTACGCCCAGCAGCCGGCACCGGCCGCCGCCCTCGGTCGAGCTCTGCCTCGTGCTGGACGCCGAGGGCTGCCTGGACCGGTTGTATGGCGGCTACTTCTCAGGTCAGTCGACGAGCGCGGCGCGTCTGCGCGTCTACGCTGGCGCGTGCCGCAGGTGTCGCCCTGGCAGCTGCGGGATGTGGGTTATTGCAGGTTCGCCCGCGTGGAGGAGCTGGGGTCTGTCCAGCTGATATGATTCGCCGGCCGGCACAGCCGGTTCGCGGCTGTTCGCGGCTGTCGCGGCTGTTCGTTAATCGCGGTTTTAGGGCGCGTCGACTGAAACTGATCTTTTCCGCTTATCAATGCTACCTCATCCTTCTGTCTTTTGCTGTCAGACTGACAAAAGAGCAAATCTGGTGGATAGTTTTCTCTTGTGCATCATATACGTTGTTTGCCGCGCGGTAACGACGGTGTCTGTGGCACCTGGCCTACCAGCTCGCTCTCGCCAGATCTTGAAATCTTGCACTGCTCCATGACGACCCCCTCCGCCATTAAGACACCGCTGTCGTTATCTACACATCCCAGCGGGTCGACGCGCTTGTGCAGTGAGACGCGAGTGAGCGCGCCCCGCCGCTGGCCACGGCCCGTGGACGGTGTCGCGGTCGGCGGCGGCTGGCCCGCACAGCCGCGTGGCCGAGATCGGGACCGGGGTGGGCCAGGTCGGTCCGGGCGCCCCGCCCTGGTCGCCCCGCGCCGGTCGCCAGTGCCGGTGCAGGTTGCACGCGGCCGCCGCCGGCCGGCCGGCCAGGCCTGTTATCGTTGGCTCGGTCGACGGACGGGGACGAAGCCGGTGCGCGGCGCGCGGGGAGGCCGCCGACCGGCCGGGTGGGAAAACGGGGCCTGCAGCCGCGGCGACCTTGGGCCGCGCCCGCTTCTGGTGATAGGATCCGCGAACGTGACCTTTTTGCTTGACCAGGGCGGGCTGCAATGGTATGCAAGCGGTTTGGGCGGTGTGTTGCGATGTTTCCCCGGGGAAGCCTGCAATGAACTGGAAAGTAAGACCACTCGACAGTGTAGCTTTGATGAAATATGCCAGAATTATGAGTGCATTTAGACGATTCGAAGGGCGTTTGAAATGCGATTGTGTACGGCTTGTCAGCTCAGCATGGCGCTCGCTGCTGTGCCGCCGGACGCCCATGCTGACCAGTCGCCCCGTCCACAGACTGGGTGTGCGGTGGCCAGTGGAACCGAATGGTGCAGTTCCTCTCCATCCTGGTGCAGACGGTGCAGGCCAACAACATGGAGCTGGCCGTCTTCTTCTCCGGCGCACTCGAGCTGCCGCGCATGCGCGAGTGGGTGGCGCGCCAGTACGCCCAGCGGCGCGACATCAACCAGGCGCTGAAGCACGTGGCGCTCAAGTCGACACCGCCGCCCAAGGTGTGGTGGACGGCGCCGGCCTGCCTGCGCACCGCGCTGCGCATGGCGCTGCGTCACCTCAAGGTGCAGGTGCTGTGCTCCAGCGACGACCACCGCCAGGAGGTGATGGCCTTCTGCCGCGACAACAACTACCACGGCGTGATGGCCGAGGACGCCGAGTACATCATGTGCAACCCGCCGCGCTTCTTCTCCGCCAAACAGATGAAGTTGACTTACAAGGTGAGGTGCCGGCCCAGGTGGCTCGGTGTGGGCCGACAGCGCCTCCGGTATAATGCTTGTCGTCGCGCGCACCTGTGGCGGACAGCGGTGTATGGGGGGTGTGATGTTCGATCGATCCGCCGGCGTTTGGTGTGCTTCTGAGCTCTTACACTGGCCTGCGGCACATCCTCGGCATTGGTGACGGCACCGGTCTGCCGACTTCTGTTCCACGTGTCTTTCGTCATACTGGGCAGTTGTATGAAGAGCCGGTGTTATTTGCGAGGCTGTGCTATTCATTCGCTGAAGGGAAACACCATGGCCATAACGCGACATGCCTAAAGATATGAAGTATGTGGAAGCTTTTGAACTGTAAGACTGCATGAAATTGTGTGGGATGCGATCGTCATGTTGTGCCATCTCCGAACCATACTGCTCATCGGAGGCCGTGTGAGAGGTGTGCAGCCGCGGTGTGTAACCGCCGGCACACAAGTGGTGCGTGCGGTAACGGTGGCGCCGCTGCCGTCAGGGCTCGCTGGAGACCAAGGAGTTCATTCTGAACGAGGTGGCGCGCGGCCTGGACCTGCAGCCCAACCGGTTCTGCCTGCTGGCCGCCCTGCTGGGCAACTACCTGCTGACCGAGGACGAGCTGGCCGAGTTTCACGACCAGCTGGGCAGCCGCGCCGCCGGCGGGAAGGTGACCAGCCGCGCGCCGTCCGTTGGCGGGCCCCTCCGCTCGGGCCCGGCAGCAGTCGCCGCTGGCGGTCGGCAGTGGCGGGTCCCGGTCAGCTCCAGGGAGAGGTGACGAATTCCGGTCGGCGCTGGCGTGGCTCGGCTCTGCCTTCAGTCGCCGCTCGTGCGAGATATCCCGGGACCCGCCTGCACCATCAGCGGGTGGGGGGGGGGGGGGGGGGGACAGACAGTGCCTGTTGCTCGGGTGCGGACCGCGCGCGCGGCGCCGCTTCTGTACATGTGCCGTGGAATAATGCATTGGCATACGCCGACGTTAGGGGCTTTATCGATTATTTCTGGTGGCTGTCAGCGCTATACGCATGGAGACGCCACGGGCCGGCTGATGTGTTCAAATGGCATTATGGTGGTCGCGGATTGGCCAGATGGATCTGGTCAGAACTTGTCCGCCACCGGAGCGGTCCGGGTGCGCGCTGACCTCTGAGATGTCGCCGACTGGGTGCTTTCATAATCCGCTCCATATCGTTGCCGCCTCAGTGCTCCGAAAAATGATCGCTGGCGCTGCATTCGTTGCGTGTTTTCCCTTGAAGCGCCATGCAGTGGTGATGTTACCGCGATATCATGCACCATTATGGCATTTCCGTACGTGCAATGCCCCCACGTGACGCGTTGCCGTTGCCCTGGTGACCCGGCCCGACACGCGCCCGCCTGTGGCGCGTGTCGGGTCGCCCAGCTGCTGACGTCGCCGACCCCGCCCCGGCGCCGCCAGCCGACGGCGGAGGAGCTGACGGGGTTGGTGGTGGAGTTCGTGCGCGGCCTTGCCTCGGTCGACGACCTGGACCAGGTGGGCGCGCTCGTCTTCAAGGCAGCCGCCGACCCGCGCGTCGACAGGCTCAAGCGGAGCGTGCGCTACTACATGAACGGCTCGCGTGATGACTGCAAGTACAAAGCCGGCTCAGGTGAGCGCCCGGCGGCGAGGCTCGCCGGGGGAGGAGGCGCTGGCTGGCCGGGCGGTCGCGCGGGCTGATGCGTGCAGCTGTCGGCCCTGGGCCGGCTCAAGATGAACTCCGATGAATTATCTACTCTCGGGTAAACAGGACGTTTGGCAGGATGTGGTTAGTCGGTGCTTTTAAGCTGGTTAGGAGCGGCAGTTCGGCTCATGGGAGCGTGTTATGTACTGGCGGCGCCAGTATCCACGCTGTTCACGTGTTGCCGGTCAGCTGACCTGCGTTTGCGTCAGCTGTTACTACATTTGTTGTGTGTACCTGAGGCCGGATTTACCAAGCCGGGGAGAGCCACGGCGCTGCGTGCTGTCTGCTGCCTCGGGCGCTCTGCTTGGCGGCCGATGAGCTCGGCCGGCGGGGGCTGACCCAGCTCCACCCCTCCCCTCGCCGCAGTGTCCCGCCCTGTCGCCAAGGCCGCGTCGGCCTCCCCGGACGCCGACGCTGCGGCGGCGCGGCGCCTGTTCGAGCGGGCGTCGGAGCCGGCAGACGGCGCCACCGTCAACGGCGTCACCGTCCAGCTGGAGCGTCTCACCACCGACGGTACGGCGGCGGTCGGACGGCGCCGTGGGCTGTGTGGCGGGGCGGCAGACCTCGGACGATCAGTCCCCTGCCGTCGCTCGTGGTGCGGTACCCGCTTACTGGGCTTACTGGTACTGTGCACCTGTCTTTCAGGCGGCAAACTGAACTGCCACTTGTTCGAAAAGCGCCATGCACGAGTATTTTAGTAGGGTTGCCACTGTCGATGGAATGGCTCAGCGGAAGGGGCCGTTTGGCGGTGCTGGAAGCTGATCCTCGCAGCCCTTGCCAGTGTTGTGATACCGTAAGGGGTGGACTCGATAGGTACTCCTTGACGGACGAAATGGGGGAGGGGGAGCTTTCTAGAACTCACCCAGTGGGGTGTCCAGGATGTAAATATAAATTCACTGGAGTCCTGCTGGAGTCCTGTCCCTCCGGTGGCATCCGCACGCAATTCGCTGGCGCTAATTCGTTGCCCCTTGGCCCCGAACCCAGACATTGGACCTGGCCGGTCAATTTCCCAAGCCTGCGGCGCTTGGATGCTGGGTTGGCTGCCGCCCGGTTTGATCCAGATTGGCTGATCTTGACCAACGGAAGGGACAACACGCAGTTGATCCCGAGCCGGGGTGTAATAACATGACAAGATGTCGACATCACTGCCACTCAGGCGGCTGTGTATTAAACCACGGGGGGGGGGGGGGAGCTGTCTGTTCATGAGGTGGGCTTTAAGGCGATGTTGGAACTCCTTGCGAACGTCTGCGGTATGCACCTGACATGCAGTCAGGCCAGCTGATCTGACTGATTATTAGCCGTCGGCTGCGGCACAGAATGAGCGGACGTGGCCGTTATGGTTGGTCCGAGTGTCGCCCCCAGGTGGGGCTGCCGCCAGCCGTCTCGCTCTGCGTTGTACGAATGCTCCCATGATGGATGCGTTAGTCGAGGTAGTGCTGTCAGTGTGTGAATTTTGTCTGCAGGACACTGTGTGTGGTCTAGTTGTGTTTGCATGTGTCGTGGCTGGTGAGGCTTGCGGTCACAAAGTACAGCTGAAGTGTCACTAATGAAAGTGGCCCTCTTGCCCGATAGATGTCTCTGCGCCGGGCTCCTTCAACGGCCACAGCTCGCCGGTGAACGGGGACGTGTTGGGGGTGAGTGCACGCCGACGCCGGGCGGCGGACCGTCCCATGCTTCGCCCCGTCTCGGGCTGATCTACAGCCAGTCAGTGCCGGCCCCGGACGCCGGCCCGTGCTTCGCCCCGTCTCGGGCTGATCTACAGCCAGTCAGCGCCGGCCCTAGACGCCGGCCCGTGCTGCGCTCCGTCTTGGGCTGATCCACAGCCAGTCAGTCAGCGCCGGCCCCGGACGCCGGCCCGTGCTTCGCCCCGTCTCGGGCTGATCTACAGCCAGTCAGCGCCGGCCCCGGACGCCGGCCCGTGCTGCGCCCCGTCTCGGGCTGATCCACAGCCAGTCAGCGCCGGCCCCGGACGCCGGCTCGTGCTGCGCCCCGTCTCGGGCTGATCTACAGCCAGTCAGCGCCAGCCCCGGACGCCGGCCCGTGCTGCGCCCCGTCTCGGGCTGATCTACAGCCAGTCAGCGCCGGCCCCGGACGCCGGCCCGTGCTGCGCCCCGTCTCGGGCTGATCTACAGCCAGTCAGCGCCGGCCCCGGACGCCGGCCCGTGCTTCGCCTCGTCTCGGGCTGATCCACAGCCGGCCAGCGCCGGCCCCGGACGCCGGCCCGTGCTGCGCCCCGTCTCGGGCTGATCCACGGCCGGTCAGCGCCGGCCCCTGATGCCGGCCCGTGCTGCGCCCCGTCTCGGGCTGATCCACAGCCAGTCAGCGCCGGCCCCGGATGCCGGCCCGTGCTTCGCCCCGTCCCGGGCTGATCCACAGCCGGTCAGCGCCGGCCCCGGATGCCGGCCCGTGCTGCGCCCCGTCTCGGGCTGATCCACAGCCGGTCAGCGCCGGCCCCGGACGCCGGCCCGTGCTGCGGCGGTCGTCGCGGGGCCGGTGGCGCGGGCCGCGCCGGTACTGGCCGACGCTCGGCCGCAGCACACCACCCCGCGGACGACTCCCCGAGTGTTGTGTGGCGCTCGCGAGGTGGTGGGTAATAAGATTGGACCTTGTCGAAGCACTCAGAATATTTCACTGTTGTTCGAGCAATAATGGGTACCGCAGGTTTAAACAAACTGTTAGCCACACGTAGTGTCTGGCACGCATGATGGTGGTGATCCATCGGCCGCCTCCACGGCAGCTGTGTGACGGGAAGCGGCGGCGGCTGTGCGCCCCCGCGCCGGGTGTGGCCGGCTCTGGACAGCTGTCCCGTGTGTCCGCCAGCCGCCGGAGGGGCCGCACGTGAGCCTGACGCCGCCGCCGCTGCCGCCCGTCACGGCCGAGGTGCTGCGCACGGCGGCCGAGCGTCACCAGAAGGGTCTGATGTCGCCCTGGGTGCACCAGGCCCTGACCCAGGTGAGATGCTGAGGCTGTTGGCAGTGCCAGCCGCTTGGGTCTAGTTCCGTGTGGTGCAAGCTGGCCTACGTGGTACGGTTGTGTCAAGACTGGTCTGATCTGAGCTGATGTGGATCTCAAACCGCCAACAGCCGGCGCATAATGCAGTGGACACCTAAGAGGTCCATCCGTGGACTCGGCACCCTGATGGATTCGTTTCGGACGTGTCGAGGAGATTGTGTTGCCTTACTGTTCCCGATCATCCCTGGTCCCTGGCACACACCGGGGGGTTACACTGGTGGAAAGCGAGCTATGACGATGCCTGTGGGTTGCGTGCGTTGGCCGTTCTGTTTGACCTGATCCGACATGACGTGACCGGGTCGGGCCGGACCGCAGGGCGAGATCCAGCTGCCAGTCAGTATGGAGGACGAGCTGGGCCGGGAGCTGCCCAACGCGGCACTCTTCTACCGGCCGGTGCGTGAGCGCGTGTACGCCGTGCTCTTCAACCTCTACCACCACAGCTTCCTGCACAACAAGGACAAGGAGAAGCCTGCCGCCGAGCAGCACCAGGTGCCGCAGGTCCAGGTGAGCGCGCCGGCCGCCGCCGCCGGGGCCCGGCGGCAGAGCACGCTTCACCGACGCCGCCCGATGGCCACGGGCTGCCGGGCTGAGTGGATGGAGGGACCGTGCAGCGAAACTGTTCGATTGTCGTTTGAGAGATGCTTAGCCCAGCATCGCTTTTGCATATCTCGTTTTTGAGTCGTGTCCTTGTGCAGCGGCTTGGAATAGCAGAAGCGATAACAGCTGGCTCACAATGTCGTGAATTCCATCCATAAATCAGAATATATCTCCATTTTTATGGTGCCAACGTGCATAATATCATGCATAGGACGACCTATTTGCAGTACTTAAAACTGGACACGCTGATCGGTAGTATTTGCATGCTGTTGACTATTCGGTCGAGCGCGGCCTTCTGCCACCTGTTGAGGGGTTCCCAGTGGCGCGTCCGATGCCACCAGCGGTGCACTGGCGCCGCACGTGTCTCTTTGTGCCCGCCTGTCGTCAGCCCTGGCATGACGTGCACCTGCTGTGTGTCATCCGTCAATGAATGACTGCCAGCGTGCGATAAGGGCCGCGACACCAGCCGGCATCTCCTGAGAGCGGCTCGTCTGTCGGCTCCAGCTGCGAGCGCCGGCCCGGCCTGGGAGACGGCGCGGTCGCCCGCCTCACCCCCCCCCCCCCCCCCCTCCCCCGTTGCTGGCAGGTCCGCGAGTGGGCGTACAGCCGGCTCAACCCGTACACCCGGCCGGACCTGGTGACGGCGCGCCCGCTGGGCTGGGGCGTACCCACCGTGCAGCGGCTGTGGTTCGGGTGAGTGGCGCGCCGCCGCGTGATCGGCCGGCGGACGGTGCCCAGCGCGGCTGGCGCTGGCCACGGAGCGGCCCCGCCCCCGCTGCGGTTTGACACGGCCGGCACTGGTGACGTGATGTGCATTGCTCTATGCCTCCCTCTGAACCCACCCCTACCAGGCTGTCGCAAGCGGCTGGCCGGGTTTGGGTGCTGTTTCCAGGTCACCGACCTTCAACAAACTGTGGTCTCAAGCATTTAAGCATGTGAGCAGACTTGTGACGCTTACAGCGGTACGCGAGTGTTGGGTGCCGTCATTTTGACTCACTGTGGGTACGCACTTCCCCCGCGTTTTCTGTTGGTCGCTTGTGAGCGTGGGTGCCGCTTGGCGTTATCCCCATATTAGTCCCTTTGCGCCTCACTTGGAGCAGGGACTGCCGTTACGACTCCAACGTCTCCATGGCGGTACACCTTCTCCCCTGGCCTTGACCTGTCAACATAGCTAGAGGCGTGTAGCGGTGGCAGTAAGTAAGCTGGTGCTGCCTCCAGGGTGTTTGGGTCAGTTGTGTTTCTTTTAGAGCTCTGACCAAATTCCTTCGGGCAGTTTGTTTTCAGGTTGGGGAAATTTGTTTTTGTTTGCTGGTCGTGGAAACCATTTTACGTCTCGAAGCTTATCCGTGAGTGTAGGACGGGGGAGCCTTGGTTCGGAAAAGGACTTGTTTAGTAGTTATGCCTGGCTAAACAAATAATTGCAGGTGAGCAGTTCTGCTAAACCATTTATATGAATATTAAACCACTCTTAATATGAACAGTATCGTGACATGGCAGTAGAAAGGTGATGAGAATTTCCTCAGCAGTATAAGCATAGGGCCACCCACTTAGAAGGATCGTGCTAATAATAGCATGTTCATAGAGTACGTGTATGAGTCCCATTGTTTGCTGCGGGCACAAGCCTGAAGTGCAAAGCTGTTTGGCGCCATCTGCGCCAGGCAGTGCCCAGTTTTTCTCGCACCCTCCCCAATTCGCAAGAGCTGCCGTTCTAAAGTTGTCCCCTGGCTATTGTATGTGGTGGCTCCGCCGTTTCGTTTGTCCGGACGTGTGTGGGCTCCATGACGTTTCTTGTGTCGTGGATGCTCTCGTTGTCGGCTGTCGTGGAAGCGTTGCGGCGTCAGCACGGCCTGGCCCCGCATCGCGGCGTCCGCGCCGGTCGGAAACGGAGCCCTTCCGGCGCCGAGCAGCGTCGCGATCGAGCGCACGCGCGCGGGCGGGCCGTGGCTGCCGGCCGCAGGCGTTGCCGGCCGCAGGCGCTGCCGGCTGCAGGCGCTGCCGGCCGCAGGCGCTGCCGAGCACAGCCGCTGCCGGCCGCAGGCGCTGCCGGCCGCAGGCGCTGCCAAGCGCAGGCGCTGCCGGCCGCAGGCTGACCGGCAGTCAGCCTGCCGTCCCAGTAGCAGAGCAGCGTACGCCCGGAGGTGTTCAGAGCGGGCGCCGCCGTACGCTGGGCGCTGGCACGAGCGCTCGGAGAGGACCTGGCAGCGGTGGTTGTGTTGTGACGCTCCTAAACAGGCCCGTGGCGTGGCCTCGCGTATCCTGGCCATCCGACAACGCCCACCGCCAGCACGCTCTCATAAATGGTCCCCTGTTTGTACAGTTATAGATATTGCGGATACCCGCTTGTTGATTTTGTACTCGTGGCCATTGGACGCGCCGTTTATCGCGCCGCCACTAATTCTGACCACTTCGTCGAAGTGGTGTCGCCGGCCGCCGGTCGACCTTTGGCCGGGAAGGGACGCGTGTCCTGGCTCCGCGCGCCCCAGTCTAGCCCAGTCTGCGTGACGAGGCAGCGGGGCGGCCCCCGGCGCTGCGCAGAAGCGCAGCGGCGGCGGCGCCGCCAGAGTGGGGCCGGCTCGATAAGGCGCGCCGGCTTCCGCGGTGGCTGGCGTTAGAGGTGCCGCGCGCCATGTATCGGCTGGCCTTGGCGCCCGGCGCAGCCGACCCCGCCGCCCCCTGCCCCCCGCCCCGCCCGCGGCCTCCGCCGCCGCCGCCGCGGCGATACGCCCCCGGCCGTATCCGGCCGGCGATAGCCGCCAGCCCGGCTCGTGTCGGGAGGCCGCCACCGCCGGTATCGGCGCGGCCTTCCACCGGCCCGGCCGGCCGGCCGACGCGTTTGAATGGAGCCCGGTGTGACCTGGTGACCCAGATCGCGCCGTGGGCTGGCCGGGCGCCGCTCAGCGGCTTCTGCTGGCTGGTGACCGTCTGGCGACGGGCGGGGCCCGGCTGGCGCCGGCTGCGTTTTGGTGCCGACATTGCTCGTTGGGCTGAAGTACGCGTACGTCGACTGCAAACGCCCCGGGATGATATAGTATGAGCAGCTTCTGACAGTCTGTGTTACCGGTGCCGACTGCTGACCACGAACCGTGTCTGGCCTGTGGGCATATCAGCTTCCCCCTCCCCTCCGCCGGCCGCTGTGCTGACCTCAGCGCGTGGCCGCGCTGTGTCGTCAGCCGCGGCGCGTGAGTCTCACGACTTTAGCATCAGCGCCGCCGCTGACCCCCCCCCCCCCCCCCTCCCCCCGGCAGGACGACGGATGACGACAAGAAGCGTCGCCTGCGCGCCCTGCTCAGCTGCGTCAACGCCGACTCTCCCAACATCCGCAATCCGGTCTACGTGCCGCAGCACCTGCTCGTGCTGGCCTGCGTGCTCAGGTTAGCCCTGCCGCCGAAGCCGAGGCGTCGCGGGGCCCCACCGAGCCGCCGACCCAGTTCTGGGAGACACGGTGTTGGTGCCGGTACAGTTATCACAAGCGGCGTGCTGGCAATCTCGCGTTGTTGTTGCTCTCTTCTTTGTTCACGCACGGAAGCGTGAACAAATCCATTTCGCCCGCAAGCCGCAGGAAGTCTAAATATGCCGCGGCCGCCGTTGTTTAGGTCGTTGGCCGAGTCACAAACAAGCGTTTTGGCGACGCTGCTGGCGGCGGCGGTGCCCGGTGCGCCGCTGCGGAGCGTCGGCGTCGGCGTGGGCGGCTGAGCGGCCGTCCCTGTCGCCAGGTACATGATGTCGCAGAGTGGTCCGAACGGTCAGGCCTTCCTCTGCAAGCCGGAACTGGATGCCTTCATCGCTCAGGCCCTCAGTCCCAAGCTCACCGACTCGCAGTACCTGCAGGACCTTCAGGTGAGCGGCCCCTCGTGCAGCCGACACCAGTGACACAGTTGTGGCAGCCGAACCGGGCAGGCTCTCGCCTTCGGCGCTGCGAGATTAGTTGGTCGAGGTGTGGTTTCATGTCGGCTGCGACTTTGAATGCGAGATGAACAAAGTCATCGTTAGCGGCTCCCCACTCGTCATTTGCTTACCCCTTGACGACGCACCATCTTATGTTCCTAAAAATTAATGGGGGAAAACGGGTCGTGCTGCGGTGCTTCGGCGCAGTTTTCTGCAACGTCAACATTTTCAGCCTTTTCTGCAGGGTTTTCTGCGGCGTGCCTCCGTGCCGGTCGGTCACCACGCGTTTTACTGTGTGGCCGGCGCCGCGACGAGCCCGTCGGCCTGGCCGACCGCTGTGCCGCCGCCCGCCCCCTGACACTGGCGTGACCCTGCCGCCCTGACCTCCGACCTGTGCGTGCCGGTAGCTGCCGTCGCTCTCCGCGCGAGCCGTGCAGCTGGCCAACCTGTTCATGCAGGGCGTCGAGGTGGTGCTGTTCGCCAACGACGCGTGCGGCGCGCCCGTGCCGTGGCTCATGTGCTGCCCGTGGCTCTTCTTCGACGGCAAGCTGTTCCACAGGTGGGTGCGCCGCCCGCGGCGGGGCGCCGCAGACCGGGCGGCCGCGTCTCACTGTCGTGGCTTCCGGCGGGGGCTGAGCCGGATGCCGCGGTCCGGACTTCCCGCGGCCCGGGTGGCCGGCGGTCGGGAGTGGACACCGCGGAACGGCCCGAACCGGCAGCGGCAGGCCTCGGCTGCAGCGGGCTGGCGGTGCAGGCCCTGGTCGCCGGGGCTGTGTTTGTCCGCTCTAAGTTGGCCCTGTTGGGAGCGTGTGCGCACTGTATATGGAGTGAAGGCAATAGCCAAGGACATACAGACGTCGTCACCGTCACGTGACTCGCCGTTACATGGTGTCTGTATGTGTTTTCTTCGTAATGCTCGTTGGACCAGAGGACCTGTGGTGGCCTCGTATCGTTCATGCATGACGCCTTTGCTTGTGGATGTAGCGTTAGGCCGGAAGCGCCGGACGTCAAACACCGCTGAGTGACGGTGTCGCGACGGCGGATGTCGGTCACCCGACTCGCCCCCGCCGACCCGCCTCCTCCGCCGCGGCCGGTCCGGCCCGTCGCCGCGAGCCCCGGCCGACCGCCGGCGCCGGCCCGTACCCGGCGACCGGGCGGCCCCAGTGACGGCGCAGGGGACCGCGCCCGGCCGCCGCCGCTCCGTGTCACCCCGCTGGGCTGGCGCCGGGCCCGAGGCGCCGCCGCTGAGGCCCGGCTGGTAGGCGGCAGACGCGCCGTCGGAGCGCGGCCCCTGCTGCCGGAGCGGTGCTCTGTCGGGCGGTATGGCCGGGCGTGTCGACGGCGGCCGTCCCGCTGACGAGGACTGGTCGGTGTTCTACGCGTGGACCGCCACCGGCCCGGTCCGGGTTAAGGCGGTCTGCGCGATGACGGCGGTGCCCCGATGTGGCACCGCACCTGGGACGTCGCAGTTGCGTGCGCGGCGGCGTGTCAGTCGTGTGGGGCGCGCCGCGTGCTGACCCGTCCCGTGTCTCCCCGCGTGCCGCAGCTTCCTGCTGAAGGCGACCCAGTGCCGCAACGTGCTGGAGCTGTGCGACAACCAGCTGGAGATGGTCGGCCAGCTGGACCTGGTGCGCCGGGCCGTGCTGGACGGCCTGCACGTACAGTACGCGCGGCCGCCGCTGGCCGGGCCGGCGCCGGCCGCCGGCGGGCGCCGCCTACTGGCGCGCGGCGCGCGCCTCCAGATCGGCGGCGTCGTGGTCGGCTCGTGGGCCGGCAACCTGGGCCTGGGCCGCGGCCGGCCGCCCCCGGCCGTGGCGCTGCGCCGCGGCCTGGGGCGCGGCCAGCCGCTGCAGCCCGGCGTCTGGCCCGCCGCCGGCCCGCGCGCCGCCCGAAAAACCACGGTCAGTGGTCGCAGAGTGGGCTCGCCACGGCCCGCTCTCAGCCGATGTGCCGGAGTGGCACAGGCGAGCGCCTGTGTCCGTGATCGGTCACATGCGTGTGGGGTTCGTGCTCCCGTTTCTTGCTATGATTATGTCATTGTTGTGTAGATGTAGTCCCACGTTATGCATTTCGTGCTGAAAAGTTTGCGTTTCGAATTTGGCGAGCACACGAGCGGAGATAAACGTCTGTCTGGCTCTCAGGCGGCTCTCGAGCCCGGTGATGCTCTTGCGCGCGGTAATTTGGTTGCTTCAAGTGCGCATTGCAGATAAAGGCCCCTCGCCGCCGATAATCTGCTTTGCACGGTAGCAAGGCCATCCGCGAGCCGCTAGGCGCGTGGCCTCCGCCCCCCCCCCCCCCCCCCCACCGGGCCCTCTGGGTGACCTGACGTCTCCGTTCCCAGGTGAAGAAGAAGGCTGCGCCGTCGCCGCCGGCCAAGAGCGGGGAGGGGCCGCCGCCGGCCACTGCCGGCGCCGACCCGCCGGCTGTCCGGTGAGAGCGGGCTACCTGACGACACCGGCCGAGAGGCGCCGCCCCGGGGCGGGCTGGGGTCTCCGGGTGGCGCAGATACGAGGGTGTAATGCGCCGCGCGCTCGGTTTATGACTGTTTTTGGGAGAACGGTGCCAGCAAGCTACGTTTAAATATTTGCTGTACCAATATTTGCCTTTGAGGCGTCTAAGTGTGATGTTTGGGCAGAATGGATAGCTTCATGGTAGTAGCGGACAGTAATAGATCGGACCCAGCGAAACGAGTGATACTTTGAGTCAGATGCCCGTTTGCCGCGGCATCCGTGTCCTCCTCAGTCGGCGGTCAACACAGGTGGCAGAACTGTGATGTTCGTTTCGCTGACATCATTCGATGTTGCCGTGTGATGCCGTCCAGCCGCTGGCGCTGCCCCGCTGTCTCGCCTCGCCGGTGTCTGCGTGTGCGGCCCGCCGTGTGTGACCGCCGCCGCCCGACTGACGACCTTCGATGCCCGGCAGCGCGACACCGGCCGGCGGCGCCGGCGACGCCCAGTTCGAGGACGCGCGGCGGCGCGTGGCGCAGCCGGCGCAGTAGCGGCGCCGCCTCCTCTGTGATGTTTCGAGTCAGGGCGGCGCGCCGCCGCCCCAGCGCTCCGCGCGACCGACCGACGGACGTGACGAACGTGACGCGACGTGACGCGACGCGCGACACACGCAGAGAGAGCGAGCGCGACAGAGTCTATTTTTGTATTGTTTGTTACGTGCGCCGGCGATGACTGTTGAGAGGCGGCAGCACCGGGCGGGCGGGATTGGGAGAGCTGGCAATATCGAGCGGCGGCCGCAGCCAAGCAAGCTACACTGAACTCACCGCGACTGGCACACGTGACCAGGCGGCCGCGCTCGCCGAGCGGCGGCGGCCGGGCGCCGCGCCGCGCCGGGGCGGCAGCGGCGCCCGCGCACCCCGTATTCAATTCGCGAACCTCTCCGGCGGGGCCCACCGCTCGCTTTCGGCGTCCACTGTTTCTGGTAGATTAAGCGGCGGCGGCGGGGGTCGCCCGCGGCGCTGGGGCCGGAGCCGGGCGGGCGGCGCGGGGCGCCGTCCTCGCCCGCGCCCGCGCCCGTCGACGCGGCTCTCCGCTGACTCGCACCTGTATTCGTCTGCCGACTGGCTCGCTGCCGCGCGCGCGCGCGCGGGCCCCTAATTTGCCGCGCAGTCGTGTCCGGTCGTACCGCCGCGCCGCGCCGCGCCCGTCCCGGGCCGGCCGGCGCTGCCTGTAAATAGCTCACGTAAGACTTCGGTGTTTGAATTCTCCAGAATGGGAACGGCCGGCCCAGCGCCGGCCCGCGGGCAGACCGCCTCCAGGCGAACTGGTTTGCCCGCGTGAATTTGTAACGTTATGGATTATTTGTACTAACGTAAGATTGACGCCAGTTGGCGGCACTCTTTGCAGGGTGGACCGTCTCGTCTCGGAGCCCGCGCGGCGGCCTCGTGCCGCCGGCGCTCAAATGGCCTCCCAACCATAAAAAACGGCACCGAGAGCGTGCAGCAAAAAAATGGTTTGAATAGAGCTTGAGGTTTTCTGCTTATCACGCTATAGAGTATGCAAAAAGGTCCGTTCATAATGTTCCGATCCGCGTCCCTGCAGCAGCGTAACGCGCCCCGCAATTTAGCAGCAGCGAGTCAGAACAAAACACCGCCGCGCGTTCTGTGAAAGGTCCTTTTCCGTGCTTATCGATATCGGTGTGAATAATGTTGGTTAAGTGGTGATGTTATCTTTAACTTGACACAACCAGCTGAAAATGGTTGTTCAGTCGCATAGGTGGGCCCCGGTATTCTAGCGTATTCTCAGTATATAGCCTCGTAATTCCCGAAGACTTTGTAGTCGATGTTAAGAAATTCCTTCCGCTTGTAATCGCAAACATTGGAAGCCAACAGGCGGATCCACGTAACCGCTGTACGTTTTTTGTGTTGATGTAGGTTCATGTTTGTCACGTGACAGATAGCTGCTTGGCCTGTCGGGAGGGAGGGTGTGGCTTTAGACCCGGTGGGCGCCAGCGTCCGGACGCGTCGCTGTCCTGTTGACTCGGCCCCGGTCCCGGCACAGCCGTGTTTAAATATACCATAAAAATTGACCCGGTGTGTGTGTGTGATAATGCACCGAGGACGTCTGGGAAAACGTGGCCGTGGGGTGGCAGAGTTCACTGCCGAACGTCTCAAGTGGATGGCGTCTGGATTAGGGGGGTGACATCAGCACGGCCTGTTGTCACTGCTCTGTACACGACTGCCGAGCGTCCTCAAACATGGGGATATTACCACCGCCCTCAAACAGGTGCTCATGTTGACATGCGCCCACCAGACTGCGACGTACTGGCCAATGATAGCGGCTTGCTATCTGGTGGCGAGGATCAAAAGCTGTCGAGAGGCACAGACACGTAGCCATGTGGTATATTGAAAGTATCTGCATGGGTCTGGACGAAGCCTGCCGCGCCGCCGCGTGTGCGCATTACAGCGGAGCGCCGAACGCCCAGTCGAGCGCGCTGGATGCCCATCCAGGTGACACGTGACATGGAGAGGACTGACGTCGGAGGTCTCTGAGGCTCGCCCTGCGGTGGTTGCTGACCTCGGCCGCGTTCTCTGTGGCGATCACGTGACAGCGTGCTAATCGCCGCGGAACTGGCCCGGGCGCGCTGCGCCCACCGCCCACCGCCCACGCGTTACGGCAGTTTTAGTTCAGCGCTGCGACCGTACACAAAAGGAAGTGTCAATATAGGGAAGTTGTAAATGCTTGCCTTGAGGAGGTGGATAATACACCACGTCAATATTTACGGTGTACGACAAAAGTTGGCCACGTTTTGTTTTGAGAACGGCTGCGGGTGTGTTGGATTTTTGCTCTTGACGGATACTTTCTGGCATAATAACCGCTCCTGCAAGCAGAAATGAAAATGGACAACTAGTGTAAGGCCTACTGTTTTTTTTTTTATCACCCCAGTAGATCATCGCCCATGTCAATGTCTCATTTTCCGACTCTTCGGTGACAGAAGGCAGTCAATCCAGCAAATCTGTTAATACACCAGCTCATAAATACCGACGAAGAGCAGTTACGACATGTACGGAGGCGATCTGCACTGCACCATTAGGGGTGATTTCCTTGACTTTGTTTTTATTTTCAACTTTGGTGGTTTAGCTATCCCACTTTTCAAAGGCGGGCATTTTTGATGACCGGAGGGGGGGGGGGGCGCCAACTACTAAGGTCATTTTGCACCAAAGGTTGGTATCTGTGCAGACGCTCATCGCAGGCTCGCGGAACTTAAGCAAAAGGAAGCAAAATTGTACTAACGTTGCACGCAGAAATTGTGAGGCATTTGTATGTAAGCTTTTGAACGGGTGAAGTTTTTCTACAACGTTGCAATGTCACCACCATTTCACCAATCACAAAGTCACTATTCTCCCATTCAATTGACATGGAAATGGTACGATTTGCCAATGGTGAAAAATGCTACAAACATGGGCTGAATGTTGAAACCAGGCGCAGATGTTGACGACTCGGTGTGGCAGCGCTGCGTGTAACGCCGCCCATGTGGGCCCAACAGCTCCATGAATCGGCTATGGGGCATTAGGGTCACCGGGGACGTCGAGCAGTCGCACGTAATTGAGGAATCTTAAAATATTAGTTTGACAGCTCTCTTCGGGCTGCACTACGCAGGATATTTAGTGCACCCAGATGCTGGGACCGTTCACAGCGGTGCCAGCTGTCGGCCCTGAATTTGATCACGGACTTTGAATTGCCAGCGCGTGGAATTTTAGCCCTGATTCAAGCAACGTACCGCGCGGCTGCTGAAATGATTCGATATGATCGTCTGGAAAAGGCCGATAGCTCAGCAGCTTTGATTTATGTACGTACTTTGTCTGCCAACACGGCAGGAACAGCGTCATTAATGCATCATTGGTGGCCGGCATAAGCCGGTATGGGACGTCCTTGGCTTCCTTGGGACAGACTGAGCATGCTTTCGTTCACATACAATGTCCCGCGTCGCACTTTTCACCACACGACCTCTCCATAGCAGAGAGGAGCCACGAGATACAACAAGATACAAGATACAGACACGCGGATCTGGCCACTGCCGGTGGGGGTAAGTTCAACCGCCGCTCAAGATCTGTAAAATGGGCCTGCAACAGGAAGAAGGAATTTTGTCAAGTAAAATTTTATCAATTTGAGTCTTTTAGATGCTGAGAGGTACGTGATGGCCAGAAGCATGTGCAGGGATGTCGTCTCCTTTCGGCTGAGGGAACCTAGTCCGTCCTGCCCCCCCCCCCTCCCCCCCTCTCCCCCAACTTGGGCTCCAGCCCTTTCTCCAACTTTGAGGAGGAAGTGGGCCTAATCCGGGAGAAACCAGACTCTTCGTGTATCGTTTGGGTGTTTTTCGTCTTTTTCACTGTCCCACTCCCACCATCCCCAGCTCATTTTACGAAGCTATACCCCTGAGTTTATTAATTTGACACCGAAAGAATCTTCCAGATTTCTCAAAAGACGATGTTCTATCGTTGTGTACATGTGATTTTCGCGTGTTCCTGTTTTAAAATGTGCCTTTATTCTCTGCACGTCATGTAGTTTTTAAAAAAGATCGTACTTGCCGCCAGGTGGCGTCGGCTGCAAACCCTGTGCCACCTGCAGCCAGCGTGGCGCTGGCAGCTGGCGCCGAAAATGCGGCGCCGAGTAACGACCCATCCAGCATGACTGGCTGCTGTGTGTGGAGAGGGAGAGGAGAGGAGGGGGGGGGGGGTTGGACCGGGCACGCGCGGCCGCCGCGCATGCACACAACATCTGCACGGCGGATTGCAAACTGATAGAGGGCGCCGACTTCTCACCAGGCCTGGTCGATCCTGTCAGGCAGGTCGCGGTAATCGGCAGCGACTGAACTCCCTGACGCTCTGGAGCATTTCACGCCGTTACGCATGCTTGCACCGGATATGGATTACGGTCGGCTGGACCCATGTGTATTGCATGGACGCTGTCGGGAAGCTTGATTCCGTGCAGAGATGAGAGTGGTATAGCTTGTTGGCCTCGCTTAGGTATCTGTCAAGATATGAACATTGTCATGGTGATGGCCACCACGAACTTTATGTGTGCAGTAATTCTGAGCATTGTGCCTACTCGAGGTTAGGTATTGGAGCGTAAATTTGAGGGTGCCATGGACCACCGTATTGTGATCGCAACGTCTTGAGAACGCTCGAAAATGCATTTCAGTCTTTTCGAAAGTTCGTTTCTTTCCATTATCATGTAGGTAATGCGTGCCTGTGATGCTGATTTCCTGGAGAGAGAGCGCGGAATCGATCGCACTTTCTCCATCAACCCGTGTTTATGCTGCCCTGTTCGAATACCTGAGAGCGATGCTCCGTCTCCCCCCCC